TTTGAAAAGATATTCTTTAAATACACCAAAAGCAGAAATCCAGCTGGAGAATCAGGAGGACCACATGGTGATTATGGTGCAAAAGGTCCTCTCTAGGAAGAAAAGAAGACAGTGGAGAATGTGACTGAATTTTCACTTCCCTCTTCACATGGATCCCCATTCCCAAGGAGTGTTTTGGAAAAGCTAGATGAAATGGTGATAAAAGTGCCCAGTATCCTTAGCAACAATTAAGAAGCAAGTTGTCAGTAAATCATCAGGACAAGTGCTTCTGAGTCTTAAAGAAACTTGAGGATGACATTGTTGACCTCAGTGAGAAATTTTGTCATTACAAATTCCCAAGCATCATAAGGACAATGGCCGCTTTTATCCCCATTCCAAAAAAAGAAGTTCTTTGGGGAGCTTCTGGGAACTATAGGGTAGGTCTCACATTCAAACTGAGAAAACTGATAAAAACCTATTTTTTTAAAGAGGAAATTGCCTGAACCCTTAAGCAAAAATGCAGAAAGAAAAGCTGCATAGTTTATTTCTGTACCTAATAAGGAAAAAGGAGGAAAGCATGATCAGGAGGGTCTAGGAAAGAAAAGAAGGATGACCAGAGGACAGTGTAGATTGGTGTCTAGGGCATAGTGTCATGTGGATGGGGCTGGGTAAATGGACTGAGTGACTACAAAGGATCAAATCTCCATGAGGAGTCTGTGTGTATAAGGCATTCGTTGGTGTTAGAATTAGAAAACATGAGTCTGAGGCCTGGCTCTGAAACTGATAAGGAGTACTTTGCCCTCAGAGCTTCAGTTTTCCCATCTGCAAAACAGGGAAAAATAATACTTGTACTATCTCCCTCAAAGGTAGATATGAGGAAAGTGCTCAGTACAACTTAAGTCTTATATCAATGTGACATTATTTTATTGTTATTGTTATTGTTGCTATAGTTATTTGTTATACCGGATTTGAGTGTGGAGCTTCCAATGAGGAACTTCCTTTACCAACATATCTGATTTACAACTTAACCTTTTAGGGAATTGCCTGGGACACTGAGAGTTTAAGTGACTTGCCCAGGAGCACTTATATGACCAGTATGTGTCAGAGGTTTTTCTTGAACTTAAATCTTCTTGGCTCCCAGGGAAGCTCTCTAGTCATCACACCCATGCTGGATTATTATCTTCAACATTTTGTTCTAAAAATTGTTGGGGCAGCTAGGTGGTACAATGGATAGAGTGTCTGGCCTAGAGTCAGGAAGCCTCATCTTCCTGAGTTCAAATCTGACTTCAGACACTTAAAGTTAAATATCCCTGTTTGCTTCAGTTTCCTCAACTGTAAAATGAGCTGGAGAAGGAAATGGCAAAGTACTCCAGTATCTTTGCCAAGAAACCCCCAAATAAAGTCATAAAGAGTTGGACATAACTGAAAATGACTGAACCTTGTATACCCCTCAGGAGTAGAGAGTGAATTGTGGTGGGATGTAATGTGGAAATAGAGGGTATGAAAGAGTGGACACAGGGCACAATTGGAAGTTGTGGAAGATTATGCCCTAACTTTATGCCCCATAATGAAAAGGAAAATGACCAGTTCTGTGGCTGGGACAAGGGAGAAAGAGTTAGTTTGCTCTTTATTTCCTTTTGAACTATGAATTACTTAATCGTTTTAGTTCTTATTGTTTTGATAATGACCGTCCTTCCTCCTCAGTAGTAGAGAATAGACATTAACATTAACTAATAATATCTTATTATTGCTTATTACTAACCGCTACCATCCTTTTATAGATAAGAAATATAAATAGGAAGGGGAAGACAGTCTTCTCTCCCGTTGTTTAGATAATGCAATTATATAGTTATGTTTTCCTTGTATGGTTTTGTGCAGCTCTAAGAAAATTATTGGACTCATTAAACTTCTCTTTTGATCATCAAATTACATTATATTATTGTTCATCTTAGTAATACTATCTCTTGCCCTTGCTGATCACTAGTGCCTTCTGCATACAGAAAAGGAAAAATGATAGTCTTGCCAAGCTCTGTTCTGGTCAGACCACATCTTGAGTAATGAGTTCAGGTTGGGGCAGGAAATTTTAGGGAAAATACTGACAAACCAGAAAGATGGGTAAGTGAGAGTATGGGTTTCCAAGATGGTGAGGTGCCTCAAGATCATACCATATGGGGATCAGTGGAAGGAATTAATGATGTTTTGCTTGAAGAAGAGAAAACAGAGTAGAAACAATAATTGTCTTCAGTTTATGAAGGATGGACACAAAGAAGAGAGATTGTGTTTGTGTTACTTGGTCCTAGAGAGAAGAACTAGGAAAAATGAGTGGAAGTTACAGAGAGGCAGATTTCAGTTCAATGGAAGAAAAAAAAACTTCCTAATGATTAGAACTCTCTGAAATGATACAGGCTGCCCAGTAAAGTAGCCAAATAGTCATTCATAGAAGTCTTCAAGCACAGAAAGGATAACCATCTCTCAGGTATACTTTAGGAAAGGATTCTCTGCATGAGATAGAGAACTGAAATAGAAGATCTCTAAGGTCCTTTCCCTACCTAACATTCTAGGATTCTCTGATTTTCATGGTTAACTTAATGGGCATATTGCATTTCTCACATTGTATTGCCATATGGATAGTTTATAATAAGAAGCAGCAAAATTAATAAACTCAGTTTAAGTTCAATTAAAATGAATAAGGGAAAGGAAATCATTTGTCTCTCAGTACAAAGAACAATGACTGCACATGCACAAGTGGTCATTCTGGCCCTCCCCGTCGCTACCTCCATCACCAAATAAATTTTTAAAATCCATTTTTTCCAATGGTCTGGGCAGGTTTATATTATTACCTTTTACATAATGGCATTTATGCCCAGTCAAGCCTACCTATAATATTGTCACGGAAAACCAAAAAAGGATTTCCTTGTGACTGGAAGTCTTTAGAGGGGGATACAGAACCACTTGTCAATAACATTATTGAGTGGATTTTTGTTCCTGCATGGATTACAGGAGGAGGTGTCAAAGGTACCTTATACTTCTGATATTTTGGGATTACATATAATATTCAAAGGTACTATATACAAAGATAATATATTGTTCTGTAAAATTTGGAAACCACTGATGAATTTGAAAGGTATATCCAAATACATCTTTCATTCTCTTATTAACATTGCCTAAAACATTGTTAAATTATTATTTTTAATTTAATAATAATAATAATATCTAACAATTATAAAATAATTTAATATATGTAAAACAATATATATGATTTTATACTAAATTAAAATGTCAGGAACACTGATAATATTCCTGATACATGAAGGCAGAGGATATATGGAAAAAAGAAAGATGGCATATTTGCCATAGAAAGCCTGGCCATAGAAAGAACACTGAACTAGTAATCAAGCAGAAGGCTTGTGTTTCAATTTTGGTTTGAACCTTAAGTAACATGTGACCTGACTCTACTATTTTTCATCTGTGAAATGGGGAGGGGCAGGAATTGAATTAGATGATCTAAGATCTCCTATAGACCTAAATTTCTGTGACTCTGTGATTAGAAAAACAAAACAAAACAAAACAAAAAAAGAATAGCTCAATCCCAGATAAACAGGGTAGAAATTAGAAGGAGTAAGGAATGATAAAAATATGGTCCCTATCTCTTAATTACTGAAATGACCACAAGTGTGTAGGACAAACAAGCAGAAATATTAACACAGAACATTAATAGATCATGAAATGTTTGCACAGGTCAGAGGTATGTTTTAGGGGAAAGAGTCAAGATTAAGGTGATGGAAAGGGGCAGAGGGGTTGAGGAAATGTTTAAATAGAATGGAGTGAAGACTAAGAGATCTACACTTGGAAGGCACCACAGAGTTATTAAGCATCATCAAGTGAACTTAAAACTAAGTCTTTTGACTTCAAATACAATGCTCTTGGTACTCAATCCAGGAAGGCTTCCTACGAGAGGTACACTTTACAAAGTATTTGATGCTCAACAATCTTTTGAGATAGGTGGTGTATGTGTGTGTGTGTGTGTGTGTGTATACATGTATATGTATATACATACATATGTATATACATGCATGTGTATATACATGCATATGTATATACATGTATATGTATATGTATATGTATATGTATATGTACATGTGTATGTGTATGTGTATGTGTATGTGTATGTGTATGTGTATGTGTATGTGTATGTGTATGTATATGTATATGTATATGTATATGTATATGTATATGTATATGTATATGTATATGTATATGTATATGTATATGTATATGTATATGTATATGTATATGGTACAATTAGGCAGCCAGGTAGCTGGTGTGCATAAAGTGCTGGAGTCAGAGTCAGGTTATAATCTGAATCAGATACTGACTACCTCTGTGACCCTGAGTAAGTCACTTAACCTCTCTCAGCCTCAGTTTACTCTACTGCACAGTAGGAATAAGTATACCACCTATTTCAACAAGGTAGTTGTAAGGGTGAGATAGTATATAAAGTGTTTTGTGCTAGCTATTTACTATTTTATAGATAAACTAAAAATCAGAAAAGTTAAATGATTTGTCCATGGTTACATAGCCAGTAAGGGTCAGGCTTCAGGTTCAGGGGGCTTTTTCCACTACACTACACTTCCTCTCATTAAATTACCATATATTCAGTGTTTCCCAGGAATTTTTTTCTACAAATTTCACCTCATTCTTCTTCCCTTCTCTTACCCCTGTTCCCCAGTGGTAGCAACTGTGATATCACTAGCTTTAGAGCTGGGAGGAGTCTTAGCATTTAGTCAAAAAACCCTCACTTTACAGTTGTGGAAACTGAGGCCCAGAGACAAGTAATTTATCCGGTGTCACATAGCTTCTAAGTGGAGGAACCAGGACTCAAGCCCAAGTCATTTGACTCCAAGTCCAATGCTGCTTACACAACAACAGACCGTGTTCTCCAAACTAGCATCTCCCTCCTTTCCCATAGGCACCACAGCTATCAGCTGCAGTACATGGAAGGTACATGGAATGAAACAGAGATGCCTCCTGGCTTCTTTCTGCAAGGCTTCTCTGAATTCCCTCACCTACAGCCTTTCCTCTTTGTGCTCCTGTTAGTCGTACACCTGGCCACCCTGAGTGGAAACCTGATCGTCCTTGTGTCTGTGGCCTCAGTTGTCACTCGCCCCCCAATGCTGCTCTTCCTGTGCCAGCTGTCAGCTATTGAACTCTGCTACACATTGGTAGTGGTGCCCCGCTGCCTAGCTGACCTGGCCAGGGGCCAGAACCGGGGCAGCCCCATCTCCTTTGTGGGCTGTGCAGTGCAAATGCAGATGTTTGTAGCCCTTGGAGGAGCTGAGTGCTTCCTGCTGGCAGCCATGGCCTATGACCGCTATGTGGCCATCTGCCACCCTCTGCGCTACCCAGCCATGATGACTCCGGGGCTCTGTGGGAGGCTGGCTATAAGCTGCTTCCTTGGAGGACTGGTGGTCTCCCTGTTTCTCACAATGGCTGTCTTCCAACTGCCCTTTTGTGGCTCCCATCTGTTGGTTCACTTCTTCTGTGACATCACTGCCGTGCTGCACCTTGCCTGTACCAGAAGCTATGTGGAGGAACTGCCCCTCCTTGGGGCCTGCATTGTGCTGTTATTGGTGCCCTCTTTCCTGATCCTGACTTCCTATGGTGCTATTGTAGGTGCCCTGCAACGCCTGCATTCATCTGGGGGTCGCAGGAAGGCTGCATCCACTTGTGCCTCCCACCTGGCAGTTACCCTGCTGCACTATGGCTGTGCTACCTTCATGTATGCACGGCCCAAGACTAGTTACACCCCAAAGCAAGACCGGACGCTGGCACTTGTCTATACCAATGTGACACCCCTACTCTACCCACTCATTTACAGTTTCCGCAATCGGGAAGTCACCACAGCCATACACAGGGTACTGAGGTTGAAAGGAGATGGCCAGTCCCTGGTTACTGGGTGACCCACCCCTCCAACCCTAAGGACAAGCAGGGGAGCCTTAGGTCGGGGAGGTGAGATTCAGTACAAAGCAGGATGTTGTCCCTCTTCCAGTCATGCTCTGCTATTTAGGCACTAGTATCTAGTGTTCAGGACTGGGAAAGGAATGGATTCAATGATCCTCCCTTCTCAGGAAATTATTTTTGAATGATGGATCCTCTTTTCTTACCCCCTCAAGCAAATGGAGAAAACCCAATCCCTGACTAGAGGTCTCTCAGCACATCAAAATAATAAGACACAAGTGTACATACACAGAAGAAATACTTAGAAAATACAAAATGTGTAAATGGATTTAGCTCAGACCTGTTGTACTGCTACTGAGGCAATGTGTGTGGGGAGCAGGGATACAGGCTACAGGGGTGAGGGAAGATTAGGATGAAAAATAGAATAGGCTGAGATGATTGAGCACAGCTTTCCTGGAGGAGGGAAGTTTTCTGAGTTAGATTTTTGATATATAAGGAATGGATCTGAACTGGTCTTGAGGGTGTTAAAGCCTCACCTTGGAACTGATTGAAAGATTCACTTTATTAGATATTTGCTGTTGAAAGCTGAAAACTGTGAAGATGAGAAGATCTACCTCACAGTGCTGTGTATTTTCTCTTCCTTGGAGTTCTGTCCCCTGACTTCAGGGGCTGAAAAAGACTGAATCCAACTGTTCAGAGATTTCATTCCTCACTGCTTATTCACTACATTTGTTATATTTACCTAAAGGTGGAGGAGGGAATTGTTCCTTCCAGATATATGCTAAAATTGGATTCTGGTAGTGACAGACAGGAATGGACTGAGCCCAGCACAGCACTGAGTTCCTTAGTGCACCTCTCTCTATTTCAGCCAGCTGCCTTTTGCCCTTATTTAAAATACCCAACAGTGAGGGGCAGAGCCAAGATGGTGGAGTAAAAGCAGTGACTTGCTTGAGCTCTCCCCCAAGCCCCTCCAAATACCTGTAAAAAATGGTTCTAAACAAATTCTAAAGCCACAGAACCCATAAAGACAGAATGAAACAAATTTCCAGCCCAAGATAACCTGGATGATTGATTGGAAAGGTGTATTATACCAGGCTGGGAGAGGAGCACAGTTCAGCATGGGTGTGCAGGCTACAGTGAACCTGGAGCAGGCCTCAGAGGACTGAATCATGGGCAGCTGTGGTGGTTTCCAGACTTCTCAACCCACAAATGCCAAAGGCATCTTAGAAGGTCAGTAGGAAAGGTCTGAGTCTGCAGTCAGAGAGAAGCAAGGTCCCAGGCCCAGTTCCCAAGTGTGGCCTCAGGGCAGTGGCTGCTTCCTGAATTTCCATCCCACAGGCTAAGGGGGAATTGAGTGGCTGATGAGAGGGGGATTGCAGGGATCTCTTTGCTGGTGCTGAGGCAGTATTCTCTTGCTTTGCCCATGCTTGGATCTGGGTCACAGTTCTGAGTGGCGGTCCTGGGGCAATGAGGAGCACTGGTGTGGCAGAGCTTGTAGTGGTGAGAGGAAATCATCCTCACAGTTCCAAAACAGAAAAGAGTGCTTGTGGTCACTCATAGACAGGAGTACAGGCCAGGAAAGGAGTAAAAACTGCCCTTGATCATAGCACCCTGGAAGAACTAGAAGTATCTCTGAAAACAGCTGCACAAAACCCCTGAAACTTGGGACAGTACAGAAGCAGACCCCTACCTTAACAAAGAGTTTATAACTCAAATAATTGGCTGGGAACTTGAGCAAACAGTGCAAAAAGAGTCAGACCATAGAATCTTACTTTGGTGACAAAGAAAATACCTAATAGCACTAGACCCTTAACAAGTGATCTTGAGTTGAATTCTACCCTACCTCACATTTTACTTGGTTCTGATTACAAGGCTCTGGGTCTATGATGGGGGAAAGCAGCCCAGAATTGCAGAATAGTTTGGAAAGAAAGACTGGATCTGAAGTGAGAGCACCCAGGTTAATATCCATATGCTAATTGTGTGACCTTGGACAAGTCACAGCTTCCCAGTAAAAATGTCCATAAAATGAGTGAGTTTGGCTGAATGATTTCCCAGGTCCCTTCCAGCTCTAAATCTGCCATCCCTTGCTCCCAGGGCCACAGCTACAAGAGGCCTTGGGACTAGTCCATTCTCTGAGCACCATGAATCTCATAGATATGTTACTAGTATCTCTCCTTATCTGACAATATCGACAAGTTTAATTTCATCTTGCCAAGGAATTGGTCCAACACACAAACTTGAAGCCAGAAACTGTGAATACACAGAAATAAAGTAACTGGCTTAGAAAGGCTCCAGAGATGTGTACTGAGACTAAACAATGAAGATAAGAGACAGGGAACCTTTTAAAAATGTATTTTGTACAGTCAATAGAATTGATTAGAAAATGTCATGTGATACATCATTGGTTTAAGGATATTGTTTCAGGTATGCAGCGCTCTGGCCTTCTGTTACCTATTATGGACCCCAGATTGTGCTCCTCAGGAGATATTCAAGCAGCCAATCTAGTGAACATTTCAAGAAGTATAATGGGATAAGTAAAAAATTAGAAGAAAAATACACCAAATTATTACCATTCCACAAATTGATGTTTATCACCCTTAGGTTTTAAAATGAATTTTTCTTCAAAATCTTAGGAATTTCTTTGCCTAGATCATTTGTCAATAAACACTGGTACCTTTTATATTGTATTTAGACCCAAAGTTACAAAGTTCAAGGGTTAACATGGAGTCTTAATAAATTCCAAAAAGAAATCAATAACAGATGGGCTTGAGCCCAGTGCTACATTCAGATACGTTCCAATTAATTTAGATTTCTGGGAAAATAAATGGCGTGTTGAAGTAAATGTATTTTGTTACCAAGACAAACATTTTCTGATAACATCTTAAATATTTCAAAGTAAACAAGAATATGTTAATCACATTTTAATCTGCAAGACCATTATAATAAGGAAAGTCAGATATAGCAGAACTCCAATGTAAGCACTGCTCCAACTACAGATAGCAGCTACCCTCAATACTTGCCAGCAAGGTGAAAACCTAATCTAATGTAATGTAACCAAACTTCTACTCACCTATACCTTCTTCTGCCCAAGACTTTATCTCCTTGCCCTGGCTGCACTTCTGTTAGCTTTTGATGGTTTGCAAGAGTAGTCCGGGAACTAAACTTACCTACAGACTCAGCAATAAAGGGAAAAATGTTACATGATTTAAAAAAAAATTCCTCGAAGGAAAATGCAGAAAAGATATACACACTGTTTAATTAAGCAGCAGGTATAGGCATAAAATTAGCTACAAATTCTCTAAAGTGTTGATGGGTTTTAATTCAAAATTGCTTGAAAATTCACAAACTGCTGTCATAGATCAAGACTAAATGAACTAGAGGTAAACGGAAAGGGATAGGGACGAGTCTAAGATGAGGTTTCAGTGTGCTCGAGTGAAGGAAAAAAACACTACCAAACTCTGCATCTAGTCCTTTTATATTTTGTTATGATGGACTTAAAAAAAAAAGTCCAGTGGAGTAGGACACCAAAATACAGATACCCAGAAATGCAATACAAAGGCTAAAATATGTTTTAAGGGATTCTAATTTCAGCACAAGGTGTTTTTTAGTTTAGTTCAGTTTCGTTTTTTTATCTAGGGCTACTGAGGCAGTGAGGCTCAGAATTAATTTAAATTATGGCATCATATGTTCGGAGAAGAGATGAATATAGGCCAAAATAATTAAGGTAGTTTTTCTGAACAAGGAAAACCCAAGTTGTACCTTGATCGTTACATATAACTCAAGTAGACAAAGAATTAGAACACAATCCACAGCTGTACAAAATAAAAATTAGAATTGAATCTGTATTTTGGCCTTTTAAAGGTCAGGTGTTTTAGTTTAGTGTAGTTTTTTTGAAGGGAACATTGGGAATAAGAAAGGAAGGGGGAAGAGGAGGAAAGAAAACTGGAAACAAGCAGATGCATAGGGTAAAGGCATATGCTAAAAAAGAGAGGAAAAGAAAGAAATATTTAGACATGTATGTAGCAAGGAAACAGATGAGAGATTTTATATTTATATAATATACTAATAGAATTATAATTATATACTGTAACATATATGTGTATATATATACATATATATATGTATATATATACACATATATATGGGGGGGAGAGAGACAAACAGAGATAGAGAGACAGAGACAGAGACAGAGAGACCTAGAGGGAAGTATTTGAGGCAAATAGCTCTTAACACAGCCTGCTAATTCACTTGGACTATAGGTTTCAGAAGGCTGTCAGCTCTTCATTATCATTATAAATGTTGACTCTCTAATTCAGCACTAGTCACAGCTCTTCAAATTCTCTTCAAATGCTCTCATCTGAATCTGAATAGGGTAACTACAGCCACTCATCAAAGGAAAAGTCATTCTCTGGGATGCAAAAGCAGTATTTAGTGCAATACTGCCCAGAAAAATCATCTGAAATTTGTTAGTAGTCACACACACACACACACACACACACACACCACACACAACACACACACACACACGCCTCCTCCTTAGACAACATCTGGAGGGATCTGTTCAATACTGGAAGTAATCTCAAAAAAGGCATTGACAAGCTGGAGAGCTGCCAGAGAAGAGTGATCAGAAGGCTGCTAGAACTAGTGGTCTGGCACATTTGAATAGCTTGGAGGAACTGGGAATGTTAAGTTGTTTAGGAGAACAGAAAACAATGAAACTTCCTAATAATTAATCAGATCTGTCCCCAGAGAGGAATGGACTGTCTTGGAAGCTAGCAGGATCTCTGTCAGTAGAGTTTTTTTAGGTAGCAGCTAGATGACCATATCTAACAATTAACCTGAGTTACATGACAATTTTTTTTCACATTATGTTAGACTATTCCAGTGTATGTGTTAGATGATGAGTTGAACAGAACATTGTAGAAACAATTTCCCCCAAAACACTGGGAAAATCTCTAGTCTCTAGGTCACCTTTGCCTTCAAATTGTGGACCAGACAGAGC